GCTTAAGTTTAAAATGAAAAGGGTTTATAACTAACAGAAGCAAGCTGAGTCATGCAGACAACATAAACGACCAGGTTCAGGGAAGCATTGAAGTTCTTCCCTTAACATTAGAGAATTCAAACAGCTCTTATTACGTCCACTTACACTACTTCCATCTATTTCACTCAGTGAGGAACCTTTGAAGCCAAAAGGACTATTGGAATTCAGCCTGTGGCTTTGTTTGCCAGAAGCAGGCCTCTTTGTGTCTGGGGGTGTTCACGTTCCCTTTACAGCCTTCAGCGATTGGCTGTAATCCCAACAGTAGCCCCGCCCAGTCTGTTACCTGTTGGACTTGTTCTCTCTCTCTGGCTCCTTCTTGTGGTCAATTCTGAAACCGCTCGCTTCCTTAACTTAACCTCATTAATAATAACGTAATAAGACAAAACATCATTTAACTTTTCACACCAAGGTATTAAAATTTTTTTTTTTAAATAAAAAAATATATAATATCATACATAATATCATTATTACCACTAGTCGTGCTTGTACTTCTTCAATTACTGACACTACCATACTTTTTCTTTGCAGCTTTCTGTTGGTCCATATTTTTTCTTCAAGGAATTGGTTGCTTCCTACAGCATTCAACACTGCTAACTCCATTTCTTTCTTCCTCCCTTCCTCAATGTAAAATGATGATAATACAGCAGGCTTTTGAGGATATTATATTAACCGGTGATATATTTAAATATTTGTCATTCTTATTCCACATCAGTGCTGATCAGAGTCAAACAACACTGAGGTCCAAACTGGAGGCCCTGCAGTGTCATTTTACCTGGATTCTGGAGCCCAGCAAGATCAACCTTGTACTTCACCGCGACAAGCTGTTGGAGATCGGCACGGAGGAAGGAAACAGCTGGCTGGGTCACATCTACAACCTGAGGGGCTTCATTCAGTGCAAGCTGGGCTCCACCGAAGACGCCCTGAGTTTCTTCCTCCAGGCTGCAGAGGCCTTCGGCCAGATGAGAAGGGCAGGTGAAGGTCCCTGGTTGGTGGTGAATTACGGGAACCTGGCTTGGCTGCACCACCTCCTGGGACACCAAGCAGAGAGCGAGGCTTACCTTTCAAAGGTTGACGCCCTAAAGAAGAAATACCCAACTCCATCAGAGGACGAGCTCCATGCAGAACTCTACGCTGAAAAAGCCTGGACCCTGATGATCCTCGACATAGAACGAGAGCTGGTGTCAGATTACTTCCAGAAAGCCATCAAGATGCAGCCAGACATGGTGGAGTGGAACACCAGTCACGTCATCGGGTTAGCGAGTAATTTTGTTCGAGGCAGCACAAAGATGGAGGCTGACATCTTGGATAAAATGAGAGACGCCAAGGAACAGGATCCAGAGAACTTGTACCTCGCTGCTTGCGACATTCAGATACGTGCAATGAAAGGGCAAGACGTTGCAGACGAAGCACGTGAGTTAGCCGAAAGGGTTTCAATAAACCCCGTCAGCAGCTACAGTCAGATGAGAGCAATACTTAGGGTTTACAGAACCTGTAGATTGATTGATGAGGCCATTCTTTTGGCAGCAAAGGCGGTGGAAAACAATCCAGATCAGCGTTATCTTAAGAAATTTGCTGCACTAACTCTCAAATGGAAGATTGTTTTTTCCAACTACAGTGGCGTAGATGAGCGCATGGTTGACAGAGCAGTCATTCTCCACAAGGAGGTGATTTCTCTTTACCCAGATTCTGCACTTGCGGAGGAAATGGACCTCGCAAATATATACGCAAAGTCCAAGCGCAGACAGGACGAAGCCAAACATTTGTTCCAACAACTGCTAGAAAGGAAGCTGGAACCTGCAGAGAAACAGGTGCTTTACAAACACTACGCTAAACATCTTTTATTTGATCTGAAAGATTACAACAAGTCAATAGAATATAACATGAAGGCAGCAAAGATACCGATAAATTCCCTCTATCGTGAGAGCAGCATTAAAGCTCTGGTGAAGATTAAAAATAAAGGCAGGAGCCCAAAGTGCAGAGAAATAGAGGAGTTTCTGGAAAACCTGCAAAAGCCATAGTGGGTTGTTTTTACAACCCTGGTTCCAAATCTGGAGGAGATGATGGTGTTGCATTACCTAAAAAACACTTAGCAATTTATTTGTGTCCTTTAAAACAGAAGCTTTTCTGCTAGTGTTTACACTTTGGTAGTTTGTTTGCAGTACACGCGATGTGTATGACAAGCTGATTAATACAACGCTGTCCTTCAAATAACATCCACTGTGGACATGTGTAAATGTTTTGGTCATCATTTGATATCATGGTTCATCAAAAAAAGATATTGATCAGATGTAATGTATATTATATTCCTGTTATTATGGTTTTCTCCTGTTAGCTGTGTATTTTAAGTTCATGTAAGAATATTACTAGTACTACTAGTAGCAGTATATGAAATCTGCTTTGCTGTATGCCTTTGAGTAGTGGAATATAGAAACTAATAATTACGTAACAATTTATTTGATGGACCCTGTAACCTGAATATTACAGCCTGATACAACTGATTGGATGCATTTTAAGTATGTAAATCTGTAACACAATTCCTGTGTAAATGTATTTTTTTCTCTTTTAGTGAGTCATTGTAATTATGTGGAAGGAAGTCAAAGCAACATGAGAATTTGGTTGTACAGAGTAATGTAATATCTACACATGACAATAAATATCTTGAATCTAGTTAAATCCACTTAAAAGAACTGTGTCTTATTTGGGGGCATTGGGGGCAATATGACCCTCAAATATATACATCTTTGTTCTTGAGTACTTGAGGAATCAGTCAAACTTCTAAAAACACACAAAAAAGAATTACGGTCTTTATTTTATGACAAATGTCACGTCAGAGGGTGAAGTTCCATCTTAACATACAGAAACATATTTTTCTACTTTTACACAGATCCAAAGAGATCAATGAAGGCCAGAACTTTATGACAATAGAGAGTACTTTTAAATCAGATTGAATCCTCTCAAATGGTTGGAACCAAAAGATCGAGGCAGAAAGGCTGCCGATGGGGTGAGTGATTGGAAACAGATGCATTCACACTGCTGAAACCAGAGGGCTTTGCATTGTTAATCTCAGAGAGGTCAGTGGTCCAAGACCTAAAGTGGAAATTACTTGAAAAATAAAACAAAATTAAAAAACATCATTGAATTTCAAAAGATTTAGAGGCAAGTTCACCAACAGATCACAGGCAAAATAAAAAGGAGGAAACAGATCAATCGTTTCCTCTTCGACTCTTCTTGTGACTCTTTTTTGAACTCCTGTGATGTAAAAGAAACATAATGAGGTTAAATGGAACTGATCAAACAAATGGTTCATATCTAATTACTAATAAGATAGGAGATCCAGAAAAATAAAGGATGAAGATCATGTGATATGATCAAATAAATATACAGTTTTTTTGGGACAGTAAACGAATAAGCAGCACAACGTATCAAGAACAAAGCAATAATGATTAGTTTTTATGGAAAAATGTATTATTGGGCTTCTTGTGTTTGGAGAGTATTCAGTAACTTTGGCTTATGTTGTTCAATAACGCACTTTGCAGCTGTCTTTTTCTTTTCAAAGGACAGTATTTGTATTGAAAGTCCAGTTTTAAATCTGTGCTATTACCGTAAAAACATACAGATTTGCATATTTTAGTTATAATAACAACAGGGGTCTCACTCACCTCTCGGGGGACTTTGAGTGGCTGCGATGTCTGTGGCTTCTGTGGTGACCTGGATCAATAAGAAGAAACGAACCATCGTAATCACTTTAGAAAGCTTGTATTTTAGACACCTTCGTGCAATTGTATTTAAAACAAAAAACTACACGCAAGATCATCTTGGAGGCAGAATTCCACCGGGTGAAACACGTTGAACTTGCATAGATTAAGAGGTTCATTTTGAGAGCCCTCTTTTTTTTGGTTTGCATTTCGTTACCTGGAGATTTGGAGCGGTGGCGTCTGTCTCTGGACCGGCTGCGGTGGCGGCGGGGGCTCTTGCTGCGGTGGCGCTCTCTTCTGGGTGACGGGCTGCGTGAGTACACACAAGAAACAGACATCAATAAGCAGGTGCTACATGTGTTATATTAAAAAAGGTGACCGAGGACTTCAGGTAAACGTACCTTCGTCTCTTTGGAGATCTGCTCCTCCTGGAACAAATGAAGAGTATTGGATCTGATTTAGAGCTGCACCCACAAAGTATAAGCATATGTGCACCCGTGGAGGTTTCTTATTTTACACATTTAAATCACAAACCGTCTGGGTGAGCGGCTGCGTCTGTAACGAGGCGACGGAGAACGGCGAGGCCGGTCGTTGTCACGGTAACCGTCACGGCGTCTGTGGGGCTCTGGGGTTTGGAGTCGCTCCGGCTGCAGGTGGAAGAAACAAACAATATGAGATGAAATGGGCTCAGAGTGTAACAAACACCACCATGTTCTTGTGGTCCATTAAAGACGGACACGTCTTCAATCAGAAGAGGTTCCTTGACAAAAACGGAATATAAAAAACGTGATTAACCGTAACCGGTCCTTTAAGATTATTTTCAATTTCAATGACTAATGGTTTCTACTACAACAAATGTGTGTTTTAAAACCGCTTTGAATGTACAAAATGTTCACTGTCTATGACTATATCTGCCACTGCTATAGCATATTTATACCTTCTCTTCTTCCTCATCCTCTTCATCACTGCTCTCCACCTCATCCAGATCTTCCTCCAGAGCGCTGATACGTGGATCTAACATCTCAGCCTCCTCAAGGACGTGTCTTTTCCGTAATACAAGTACATACACACAGCACACACACACACACACACACACACACACACACACACACACACACACACACACACACACACACACACACACACAGAGTCAGGGTTGTGGGCACATGAATCAAGTGGCGTCTGTGAACAGATGAGCCTGAACCTACCTGGAGGCGGGGCAGAATGATGTCACACATCCTCTCTGCATGAAGAAGCTCATCCATGAACTCGTCCACGTGCATCAACTCAAATCCTAAAACAAAAGACAAAATAGTTGATGAAACATCCACCACATAGTCAGTGCTTGTTTCATACTCGTACGGTGGCCCTGAAGTGCAAAACGCAACGGCAAATAGGAAAACACAACGACATTAAGTTCTTTTGGAAAGGGTAGGGCCTTATAGCAGGAAGCAGAGGACCCTCTTAATCCGAAGCCTTTCCCCGCGACGGAAAGTGACATGGCGGATTCAAATTACCGTGACTCCTTAACTATTCTTAAACTGAGAAATTCCGCTTCCTAGATATTATGGCAATCAATAAATCAGTGGCGGGACCGAGAGGCTGTGATGAGGGGGGGAAGTGAGCGCAGCAGAAAGTCACGGAGAGATGCCGATGTTTTACGAGTGTCTTCAAAGTGTCCGACTAGTGTTTCACATTGGTTTTACCGGTGTTTTGTTGTTCAATTATATTTAGGTGTTGTAAATAAAAGTAAATAAAAGGGGGGGTACCGCGGACGCCTACGGGGTGGCGGGGGGTGTGTTTTGCCCTTCAGGACCACCGTATACTCGTACTCTAAATGCAACCTGAAATTAGATTTTGGTCAGATTAGTGAACCAAAAAATAAGTGCGATTTTTATTATTATCTTTAGGGACACCAAACCGCTGCAGGCAGCATAGCGTCATGATGCAGGTGTCTCCAGGTAGCCATGGTAATAGTCCTTACCGAAACACGTCGGACTGCCTGGTCAGGAATCTACAAACTTGTGACTGTGTTTAAAATAATACACGTGACATCTTGACATTCTAATAATATGAGAAGGTTGGGCAGATCTGGCATGGTTGGGTTCCGAATACTCAGGCCAT